CAGTACAGGCTGGGGGCTGACCTGCTGGAAAGCAGCTCTGCAGAGAAGGACCTGGGAGTCCTGGGGGACAACAAGTTAAGAGCATGAGGCAGCAATGTGCCCTTGTGGCCAAGAAGGCCAATGGGATCCTGGGCTGCATCAGGAAGAGTGTTGCCAGCAGGTCGAGGGAGGTGATCCTGCCCCTCTCCTCAGCCCTGGGGAGGCCATATCCGGAGTACTGTGTCCAGTTCTGGGCTCCCCACTACAAGAGAGACATGGCACTACTGGACAGAGTCCAGCGGAGGGCTACAAAGATGAGGAGGGGACTGGAGCATCTCTCCTCTGAAGAAAGGCTGAGGGAGCTGGGCCTGGAGAAGAGAAGACTGAGAGGCGATCTCATCAATGTGTACAAGTATCCGAAGGGAGGGTCTCAAGAGGATGGGGCCAGACTCTTCTCCGTGGTGCCCAGCGACAGCACAAGAGGCAACGGGCACAAACTGAAACACAGGAAGGTCTATCAGAACATGAGGAAAAACGTCTTTCCTGTGAGGGTGACAGAGCACTGGAACAGGTTGCCCAGAGAGGCTGTGGAGTCTCCTTCCCTGGAGATATTCAAAACCCGTCTGGATGTGATCCTGGGCAATATGCTCTAGAGGTCCCTGCTTGAACAGGAAGGGTTGGACTAGATGATTTCCAGAGGTCTCTTCCAACGTCAATCATTCTGTGATTCTGTGAAACACAACCTTTCTCCTCACTCAAAAAAAAAAAGTAACAGCCTAAAAATAATTACAGTTATACAAAAGTAATTGGCAAGACTGACTATCCTGCTGAGCAAGTGTCTTACTGAATCCTGTGCCTTCCCTCTTTGCCTGCCTCAAAGTGTTATTTCATATTTTAAGCTTGCTGGGATAAGGATCAATATGCTGTAATGCACCTGTTTAATAAAAAAATCTTTGATAGCAGCTAGACATTGCAACAGTATTGCAATAATAAATAAAAGTTAAGCAAAGGAAAGTGTCAGCAAAGGAAAACATTGGAATGGAAAAGATCCTCCTGTCTCAATCAACCTCAGCAACTGGTTATGAAAACAATATAAAGAAAAACTGAAATCTTGATTATACACCAGTGCAAAACAACAAAACAATATATAATACTTCAATATTTTAATGTAGTATAAAAAGGATACAAGTCTTTGCTCACCTGTAAGTTTTCTGTAGATCTGATGCTAGAATTCCAATGTCTACATATTGGCCACATTTACCACTTGTTAGGTACTGAAATGAATGTTAAGATCTCTGTCAATCATTTCATCAGAACACCTGGATCGAGTATGCTTAATTCAAATTCTAATTCTCAGAAGTTAAAATGAAAAAGAAGTGGAAAACATCAAAAACCAGAAACAGCTTTAAACTGTCCTGAAACACACTAGACATTAGCAGCTACTGCCCTGCAGAGAAGATCAAGATGACACACAGTGCAGTGGACTCTCTTTTATTTCATAGTGGTTAAGACACAACTACTGTGGTGCCATAAATGAAAATTAGCAAGCTCCTTCAATCAGTCACTCAAATTTTAAGGAAACAAGAGTACAGGCTATATAAAGACTTGTGAAGTCACCACAAGTTCTCATAACATGTGTCACCGTACCATGCCATTTGAAGCAATAATTTTTTTCCGCTCTTCAGACACTGATTATTTAAGTAATCACACTTTTTCCCTCTCTTCAGGCATTTAATGTAATCAGTGCGCACGTTTCCAAGCATGCACGCTCCCAGTTTGCCCGCACACGCACATAGGACTAACTTCCTTTGGACTATAAATTTCGCATTTGGACCAGAAACACCAGCTTCAGGCTCAGAAGCGCTGAAGCGGGAAAACAGCGAAGTAACATCCCAGCTTTTTTAACGAGAGTACCCCTTTAAGCCCGCGAAGCACAACGCCACATCCTCGCAGACGTGTCCCGGCCCGCCGCCATCCTCTTCAGCACCCGAACA